TAATTCACCTTGTGTTCTCTTATTGTTACACCCTAGAATGAATTGAGAAAATACTTGATTGCATTGTATTTGTCAAGATTTGAAATGATAATGAATGAATGAATATGTGTTTAAAAGAATCTTGCATTCATTTGAAAAGAAATCTAAGATAATGGTGGTAACAAAATGAAAAAATGGTAGAAACCTAAAAGAGATGATTTGGAAAGATATATGATGTGATCAAATGAAGAATATAATGAGGTAAATCTTGAAAAGTGGTATAATCAAGTGATGAGTACAAGGATGAATTGGTCGATATGACTTACAAGTTATGCTTGAATGATGAGAACAATCAGTGGACAAAGTTTGTTTTGGAATGGTTAATGCTGAGACACCTATAAGTAATGACCCAGTGATGTTGGATGAAACTTGTTTTGAAATTTGTTAGTGCTAAGAAATTCATTGAATGATGGTCAAGTGATTAATGATTGATGAAACTTATTTCAAAGTATTGAGAAACTGAACAAGGAATAATGTGAGTGGAAAAGACAATTGAGAGCTATACTGGTTCGATCTTAGAAGAGCAGTGTAATTAGATCTTTGAAGAATCAAAAGGCTTGATGCCCAAGCAAAAAGCTTGAGAAACTTGAGTACCATACATTGAATAGGAATTAATTGGCCAACATTTGCATAGCATGCATTGAAATTCATATGCATTGCATAGCATACACTATTTTCAGAAAAATATAGTGTATAAATTCAAGAAGCAGGGGTGTTCCAAGATCCCACATAGAGAAGACAGATATGACGATATTTTTCAAAGCTGAGAAGAAACTTGTCAGGTAAGTTTCTAATCCTTGAAATAGGATGTCTTTTGGTATCAGGGTTGATTTATAAGACCTTTGGGCATAATCTCCTGAAATTCCTTCAAACACAACTTTCAACTCCTTTGGACATGATTGCCAATGAGCAATTTACTTTTCAAAGTCGTGGTACTTTTGTTTAGAGGAGCAATTTACTTTTCCAAAGTTGTGGTGCCTCTGTTTAGAGGAGCAATTTACTTTCCAAAGTCGTGGCGCCTCTGTTTAGAGGAGCAATTTATTTTTTCAAAGTCGTTGAGCCTCTAATCAGAGGAGCCATTTATGTTTCTCAAAGTCGTTGAGCCTTTGTTTAAAGGAGCTTTGATCGAAAACAAAAAAAACAAAAAAAAAAAAGTAAAAAGGTCGAGTTGAGTCTTGATTGGGTGTCTACGTCTTTGTGCAATTTCTATTTCACAAAAATTGTGCAAAGAGGGGCAGCTGTAGACACCCAATTTGGTCCAGGCCCGGATCAATTAGGCCTAGTCCAAATAGGTAAGTCTATGTTCTTTTTTTTCTTTATTTTATTTTCATTTTTATTTTATTTTATTTTATTTTATTTTTTATTTTTATTCTATTTCTATTATTATTATTATTATTATTATTATTATTATTATTGTTTTTTTATATTTTTTTTTTATTTTTACCTTAGGTATTTACTTATTTATTAATACGTATATATCTTTATTATTATTTTTTTCCTGTTAATATTTATGTATATCAGATTATGTATTATGTATTATTTAATTTTAATTTATCTGTTAATTTTTTTGATTTATCTAATTTATTTTCATCTGATTTTTTTTATTTTTTATTTTTATTTTTTGGTTTATCCGGTGGGAAATTGGATTAGAATTCAATCAGAAGAGTCCATGTTGGATTCAATGATTGAATCCCGATCCAAAGAGGAATTGAGATTGATCAGAAACTCTTCTGATCAATCCCTATAAAAGAGATCCTCTGGAACAGAAGAATACACACAAAAAATAGAAGGAAAAAGGATACCGATTGAGAGAAAAAGAGATACAGAGAAGATTTAAAGGTTAGAAAGGTTTTGGTGCGTTTAGAACGACTCTAAGAATTAGCAAAAAATTTTGGAGAATTTTTTATGATTTTGTTTCTAGGAATTTCTGGAAAATTCCAGATTTCAGTTGAATTTTCCGATGAAGGTTGAATTTTTCGGTGATAATTCCGGTCAAGTTTTAAGTTTTCGGTCAGCTGCCCAGTTTTCGGTGACGATTCCCAGAAACCAACCAACTTTTCGACCAACTTTCGACGAAAAACTCAGATTCTGACAAAAAATTTTAGAATCTGGTGAATATTCAACCGGAGTTCTTCGGTCATTTTAGAGAGTAGGGAGAGAAAAGGAAGGAAGAGAGAGAGGAGAGAAGGTTTCTGTCAAAAAAATAAAGGAAACAGCCTTATATACCCTCCCAAAATGACGTCGTTTTTGCGTTAAATAACCCAGAGAATCCGCGTGTTTTGCCAAGATCTGACCCGACCTGAGCGTCGATCCGTTTTTTGACTCGCGCGTGTTTTGCCTCCCCGAGCAGTTAGTCGAGCCGAGCCGACGTCCCGAGCCGCTTCTTCGAGCCGTTTTTCTTCCTTGAGCTGAGCCGAGCTGTGCCATTTTCCAAGCCGCTCCAAGTTTTTTTTTTTTTAATTTATTTATTTATTTATTTATATTATTAGATTAGGTTATTTAATGTTCTTTTATCTTTATTTTATTTTTATTTTTGTTTTACTTTTCTTTTTTTATTTTCACTTTTATTTTGTTTTTTTATTTTATTTTCTTTAAATAAAATCCAAAAAATATTTTTGGGGAAAAGTTGAAAATATCAATTTTTCTTAAAAATAAATTTTCAAAAAAAAGGTTTTTTTTTAGGAAAAGTTGAAAGTATCATTTTTCCTCGAAAATCAAAGTTTTCAAAAAATATTTTTGGAAAAAAGTTGAAAGTATCAATTTTCCTCGAAAATCAAAGTTTCCAAAAAATATTTTTTGGGAAAAGTTGAAAGCATCAATTTTCCTTAAAAATAAATTTAAAAAAAAAAAAGGTTTTTGAGGAACAATTGAAAGTATCAATTTTTTTTGAAAATCAAAGTTTCCAAAAAATATTTTCGAAAAAAGTTGAAAGTATCAATTTTTCTAAAAAAATAAATTTTCAAAAAAAGGTTTTGAGAAAAAGTTGAAAGTGTCAATTTTCCTTAAAAATAAATTTTCAAAAAAATAAATTTTTGAGGAAAAGTTGAAAGTATCAATTTTCCTCGAAATTAAAGTTTCAAAAGAATATTTTTGCGAAAAAGTTGAAAGTATCAATTTTCCTTGCACAAGAACAATCATTCTTAGCTTCTTTTTTTTTTTATTTTTTGTGTTTATGTTAAATAATCCGACGATGTAGCATCTGCAAGTGAAACAGTAGTTTTTCTTGCATACTCTTGAGGTGAGAAAATTTTCTCAATTTTTTGCTAAAAGTATTAGAGTCAATTGAGAATAATTTTCAATAATTAATTACTTGGTAAAATTTTAAGGTTCATTGGATAACACAAATTTAAGCTGGTACCATCTTTTGATGGGCGTTGTGAGAGTGCTATAATCTTTCTCACACGTAACCGAACTCTCGAACCCTGTTCTGGTTAGTAGACCTGAACCTATTTTTTTAGGGACCCTTAAACTTAGGTGTTTCCTGAAAGGACAGATTCCTTAGGTGATGAATCGCACTTAGATAAAAAAAGATTTGTGGCAACTCCCTTAAATCAATGTCTAGCGATAGATCCCGGATCTAGACGTTATGACAGGTATAGCAAGGGATAATTATGAATCTTGGTTCCAATCTTTATTGCATTTATATAGTTGTCAACCTTTGAACTGTTTTATATGTCATCTAGATCTGCCATGGATATACCATGTAGCTTCAGCGAGGATGAAACTGCAGAAACTAGTTCTTCCTTGGGTTGACGACGCTTATGGTTGATGGATTGTACTTTGTAGAGAGGCTGTCTGTAGCCCTTGAGACCCGTATAACGTATAACGTTATATAATTGCTTTTGTACATCTGGGAAAAAGATTGTCTTCCATCTTACTAACTGGAAAGCACTGCTAAGAACATTGGGCACGGACAGCATTTTTGTTCATTATATTCTGTCCTTGAATAGTGTTCGGCTGTTGATATGCGTACAAAATCTTTTTTTATTATTTAGTTAATTAAATGCTTTGTGAAGGAAAGTCGTGATGAATTTTGGTGAATCAGATCTTATGCCAACTCTGAATAACCAACATCTTACACAGCAGCTTGCATATATCCTTTCTCTTTTTATTTTCTCGGATGTGTGTATACTCAGGTGTTGTCTTTGTTTCATGTCAAATAAGTTTCATATTTATTTATATCAAATACTTATAAAATATAAAAATTATTGTATTTGAAGCTTAAATTTGATCTGGTTATTTAAGTATATTTAATATTTGTAATTATATTACATGAAAATGAATAAATAATTAAATATTATATACATTTATACATTAATATTTTATGTTTGCATGTTTTCAGTGTCACTTAAACATCAATTTAAATTAACAAGCTCATTTTTTAAGTTTTATTTTATTGATTATTTATTTTAATATAGTTAATATTTATTATAAAATTTGTTTTATAGTTTTATTTGAAAAATTAAAAAATTTTCAAACTTTAGCATACATAGACAGCTCCTTTTAGAAATAGGTCAAGCCTACACAATAATATATTTTGGATCGGATTTAGACAAATTTGAAGTTTATTAATATTTTGTTTAGATCCAATTCAAATACAATCTAATGGGATTCATAAATGGATTTAATTTAAAGATCTAAATTTTCAAAGCCTTGTTCATGTCATAATAATAATAAAATTATTATCAACAGAATTATTTCTAAAAAAAAAGATTGTCTAATATAGATACATCATATTAACATTTATGCTTTTCATTCAAATCATATCATATAATTATATTATTAAAAAAAATTATTTATTATTAAATAATTAAATGATTTATTAAAATTAATATTCACCATTTAATTATTAGAAGTAACGTATGAAAAATAACTGATTTTTTTAATAATACGACTATATGGCATAATTTGAATAAAATAATTATATACTGCTTTTGCAGAATTGTTTCATACATCTTTTCTCTATTGTTAAAACTTGTTAAAAAGCAACAATATTAATAAATTCCTTCATTCAACAAAAGCATAAAAATTTTCAAAGAATCCAATATAACCTCTTTTAAAACTAAAAATTCTAAAACTCAAAGTATTTCCTAGTCAGCATCTCACATCTACATAAAGGACAATTGGTTTTCCTCTTAACCCACTCGAAAATACAAAAACCATGGAACTTATGGCTGCAGCAAATCATGGCTCTAGCTTCCTCTCCTTTCTCCATATCTTCTTGACAAATCCCACAAACTTGTCCATCTTCTTCAATTTTCACAGCATTAGTTCCAGAAAAAGCAGGATCAATAGTTTCAGCCAAGATTTTAGTCAGCTCAATCCCAACCTCTAACTGAACTTCCATTAACGTTGATTCATAATCTCGGTTGGTCTGGCGAGCCCTTGACATGGCAAGCCTTGTTGTCATGGTTTCACACTTGATGAACTCAAGTTGTTCATCGTCCAACCTCTCTGAGAAAGTAGTTCTTGGATCGTAAGAACCATCGAAAGTTGAGTAAAGTCCCCAGTTGCTTAACCTGTTCAGGGTTTTTGCTTGCCGGGTTGCTATTTGTTTCACAATATCCATGGCGATCTTAAATAAATAATACTCAATTGATATGTAAACGACTGGTTTTTCTTTTACTTCTTGAAAAAAAAAGCGTTTTGGAAAGCTTAAAGAAGTCAAAGAGATGGTAGACGAAGAAACTAATTGACAGTAATGATTCAGAAGAGGCGGTGAGAAAGCTTTAGAAACAAATACTTAAATAAGAATTGTACTTGCTTACAAAGTAGTAAAACCACGTGGGCTTAGACCGACGTCGGCACGTTTTAGCAAGTTTTACTAAAAATTTTAGTTCTCGTCTTTGATTGGGTAAAAGTTTTGTTGGCTAGAAAAGGTCAAAATAAAGTTTTTAACTTAATTGGTTGATTTATATAGAATTTTATCATAAGAGATGATATTATTGGCATTTTAAAAAAAAAAAAACTCATATGAATTACAAGTGAATAGTTATATCTCTTTATAAAACATAATTATTTACTAAAAATTATGTCTTATGAAAAATAAGATATATACAAATAGATATTTATATGGATAATTATGTCTGTGCAAAGCAACTTTTATTTAATTATAAATAGAACTCTTCTTCCTTTTTGAAGATACAAGATAGAAAATATCTCATAAAAATATTCTACATATCCACTAAAAGCTAGAATTGCCCAACAAGTTTTGTATTGTCAAATCATATAATTCTATTCTTATGTCGATAATGGCTCAGTAGATTGATTTAGTTAATGCAAAACATAGTTAATCATTGGGTTTCATTATATTTTCAAGGTTTATCGCCAATAATTCTTTTGCATGCCAATTAATCAAGTGATAGGGGTAACCAAAACCTTAAAGAAAGTAACATCATTACACGTCTTGAGCATTTCTTCAATTTCTTATGTTTTTGAAATTCTAACATATATTTCATAAATTTAAAATTTAAATCTTAATAATTATAATTTTTTTTATTTTTAAATTATTGTGTAAAAAAAATATGATTTGATTATGGTTACCTATCTCCGCCAATACGTGATGTGTGCCTATTTATTTATAGCTAATTGATTTTAAGTTAGATATTTAATACATTATTAGAGCCAAGATTTGTTTCTATTGTCTTTTTCAAATATGCTACATAATAAGTTTCTTCCATCTTTTTTTACACATGATAAGAGTATATTAAAGTGATATTATCTCACATCTAATAAATATTTAATTTTTTGTACAGACACTTAATTTTATCTGGATCGATTCAATTTTGTTTGATTTTTATGTTTGCTTCAAATAATTTGATTTGGATTAATTTGAGCATTCTAATTGGATTGACTCATTTAAGGTTTATCTCATATTAATTGCTTTCGATCATTTTGCACAAGATAAAATTCGGATCTAATTCAGTGTAATTACGGATAAAATTTTAGTTATTTAGATTTGAAAGCCTAATAGAAGTCCAGATTTATTTAAGCCCAAACTAAGTTTTAAAACTCATTTTCATTTTTTTTACTTTTATTATTTTAGAATTGATTAAATTAATTAAAAAGTGAAAAAATCACAAAATAAAAAAAAAGTGAAAAAAGACAAAACAACAAAAATGGATAATAAGATAAATCGTCAGCAACCACTGCACAACTTCATGCCACAACCATCCAAGCCATTTTGCTTTTCAAACTACAAAACATTGAATTCCTATGTCTATTGTGGTTCAATTCACAAATAAAAATGGGAGAAGAATAAAAACTTGAAAAAAAAAAAAAGGAAAGAAAACGACCCAACACCCCATTCCATTCATGAGACCATCCCCAAACACCTAGTCATCAGCACCATCCATTGCCGTACCAATCCCAGTCGAGAACTCACCCACACCATCCATAGGCATCAACCTTGGCTTGCACCAGTCCCAAACACCTAGCCATCAATAGCACACATTGCCACACCATTTTCCAAGAGCCCTTGACTAGGACACCGTACACCCAACAAAAGAAAAAGATCAACCCTTACCTGAGTGCATGTTCTAACCCTCCACTGTGAAATCCACTGTCACCAAAACATCCTAAACTCCAAGCACCAAGCACCAAACTATATAGCCTAGAACTCGTCAGCATAACCTTCTAGCACCTAGCCATCCACACCACACTCAACATTATCCCAAGACATATCCCCCATTCAACCACCCCTGAAACCAACCCTCACCTCACCAAATCACCCACAACACTAACCCTAAAAACACCATAACCTAATGCCTTCACGAACCTCCACAACTAAGAGACCTATCCCACAGCTAGAAAAACCCAACAAAAAAAAGCATCATACTAAGCAACCAAAACCCACAAAAATTCAAAAAAAAATTATAGTCCTCCACAAGGGGAGAAACCTTAATGCCAAGCAACCCTATTAAAAAAAAGTCAAATTGTGCAAAAAATATATAAAAAAAATGCATTGTTAGTTAGGGAAGAGAAACTGGTAGTGGTAGCATAAAGAGGCACGATCGACGAAGAGGAAGAAAGGAAAAGTTATAATGGTAGAGGAAAGGGAAAAAAAAAGAAAAAAAATAAAAAACGAAAGAAAAAAAAAGCATCGACGCCAGCGATCGGTGGTCAGCGAAGATAATGGCCATGACAATGGCTTTAAACGGGAGTTAGGTTTTTTTTTTCTAAAAAAGAAAAAAAAATTTATGAAAGAGGATAAATGAATTTAAAAAAAAAAAAAAAGATAGGATTTTATAGTTTAAAAAAAAAGGGTTAGAACCAGCCCAACCCACCAATCATACTAACTCAAGCCGTTTACCGGCACCGGATGACTTCTACCTAATCCAATTTCAACCTGGTCCAGCCCTTATCCTTTGGATTCGCATCTATCTCAGCTCAATATAAATTGGACCCAAACCTTGCTTTGGGCTTTTTCATTGAATTGGGTTTAAACCCAACTTTTGATAAATTCAATGTAAACCCACTCTTTACTTGTATATTTTGCATGTATTTTTACATAAATATATATTTATTATTATTGTTATTATTTTGTTGGTAATGAAAAACTACATATATTATTTTTATTTAAAACAAATTATTATATATATTAAATGATTAAGATTATAATTTTAATTTAACCTTATAAAATTATATTTATAAATGTAACAAGATTAAAATTAAATGAAAATCTTCCGATAATATGACTTCGAAAAGTCCGAGTAGTGATTTCTAAAAATTTTTTAGATGAGAAAATATTTTTAAAAATTACCAAAGTATTGAAGTATTTAGAAACTCCTTTTAATACAAAGATTTTTATTTTTTTTAATTTGAATAATTTTTTTTAAAAAGATAAAAATATATAAAATATTTGTAAAGTATACATTTTTTAGGAAATAAATTTATTTATAGATAATTATATTTTGCATAACTTTTAAATATTAATAATTATTAAAAAAATAAAATTTCTTAAGATGAGATTTTAAAAAAGCACAAGTAGTGATTCTTTAGAAGTCTTTAGATGAGAAAATTTTTCTAAAAACGTTGCTAAAGTAATGGAGCATTTAGAATAATTTTCAATAAATATTTTCATTACCTTTTAATAAAGAAATAAGAAATAAATTTTTATGAAAAGAAAATATTACTTGGTTTAAATTATAAGTATTTTGTTATTATATACATTTTAAAATATTGGTTTTGAGGGTAAATACAAACCACCGAGAATGGAATATTTGAGAAGTCTAAGTAGTGATTCTAAAAATTCTTTAAGTGAGAAAAATTCCTTCAATGTTACTAGCATACTAGGACATTTTAAGATTTCTTTCAATAACAAGGTTTTATTATTTTTCTTGAATAAAATAGAATAATTAAAAAAACTAAAATTATTACAATAAAGAAAATTAATTTTAATTACCAAAATTGTGATCTTTTTGTTAAAATTAAAAAATAATACATAATTAATTGGTATCATTTTTAAATGGACGTTATGGGGTGCTAATTCTCGTCACGCATAATTGACTTTCAAACCAAACTATTTTTGCATACCCAAAAAAAATTATTTTTTAATAAGTTTTAATTAATTTTAAAATTTTATTAAAATGATAAGTTTTAATAGGTGGTTAATCATATCTAGCCGAAAAAGATTGGTGGAGACTCTTTTTTATTTTTTTCAAATTTTTATAGCGGTCCTAAAAACTATTATGACAGCTTGATGACTCCACTAAGAATGTAATTTTTTTAGAGTTAGGCAGAAAGATTAATTATGTGTTATTTTTAATTTTGATTTAATGGTCTTAATTGCTATTTAACTTTAATTTTCTTGGTTTTGATTTTATTTTTTAAAATAACAATAGTAATAAAAAATTTTACATGCATTGCATTTTAATTAGGTCATTTATTCATTTATTATTTAATGTTTTTATATATAATTCTTGATAGATTGCAAGGCATTTAAGATTAGGTTTTCAATGTTATATTCCCTCATTCACACACTGCACATTTATATCATGTATGAGCTTTATATCCGGACTTCGTCCTTTTTAGAAGGGAGTTACTTATACTTTCTTGAGGTGATAACCTCCGTAATGACAAGCAAAATACTTAGACTCAAATTAAACCTTTTTATTTGTAACTTATAATGGGTGAGGATCATGGTGCTTTACTAGTCTTGTGTAGATGCCAGTAAAGAACAATTTTGAAACCTTTAGATGTATAAATCCTCACTCAGCATATGGTAAACTTTAGGGGACCAACCTTTGGTAGACCCTTGTTGACTTTTTTGTAGAAATAATCCAAATTAGGACACACAAAAACAATATACTTAGATAATAAAAGAAAAGCATTCTTTCAAAAAAAAAAAAAAAACTTTCTTTTGACATGTAATTCATTCATTTGGTGGTTATCCAAAATTTTCATTTTCAAGAAATGTTATAAAATAAAATGAATAGTTTTTTTCAGTATTATCCAATAAAAAAAACAAAAATTTTTAAACAAAAAAAAAGGTTTTTCTTAAATTCTTTGTTTATTGGCTAAATAAAAATTAATGAAAAAGAGAAAAAATTTTGAATCCTAATTATTCTGTGTGATAAAAAAAATCTTATGCACATCTCATTAGATAATAGATGCATTTCAT